AAATTATATATATATATATATATGTATGTATAAATAAATAAAAAAATCGTATAAATTAATTTTATATGGAGAAAATATTTTTTTTTCAGCGTAACACTTGAAATAAAAATGTTTTATTATGTAAAAGAAAATTTTTGATTCTATGGCCCTATTTGGTAGAGCTGTGGGAAAGTGGTTATAGCTTATGCCTTAACAACTTATAACTTATAACTATTATCATTCTGACTTATAAATTAAGCATCTCCTGCCCCACTAAAAGAATAAGCTGATTTCTGAATTACAAAAAGGTATAAGCTGCATTGCTAAGCTAAACCAAACACATCAAAATAACTTAAATTAAGCTGAAAGCTGAAATAAGCAGCTTTTAAGCTGCACCAAATAGGCACAATGACTTGACAAGGTTACAGACTTTCTTACTTTTTCCTGGAGCTGAAAACCCCTCGGGTTGCTCCATGTAGATTTCTTCATCTAAATCTCCATTTAAGAAAGTTGTCTTTATATCCATCTGATGTATTTCTAAACCACGTAAAGCTGCTATTGCAATCACCATGCGAATGGATGTAATCCTTGTCACAGGTGAATACGTATCAAAGTAATCCAGGCCTTCTCGCTGTCTGTATCCTTTGATAACTAGCCGAGCTTTATATTTGTCAATTGACCCATCCGCTTTCATCTTTCTTCGAAAGATCCACTTACTCCCCAAGCCTTACTGCCTGGGGGTAAATCAACCAACTCCCAAGTATGGTTCTGTAAGATGGAGTCGATCTCATTCTTAATTGCTTCTTTCCATAAAGGACTTTCAGGTGAAGTCACAGCTTCATGGAACGTTCAAGGTTCTTCCTCTAACATATAAGTCAAGAAGTCTAGACCAAAAGACTTTGTGGTTCTAGCCCTTTTACTCTTTCTTGGCTCATCTACTTCATCAACTTGATCATCTACTTGATCAGTTATTTGGTCAGCTGTTTGATCATCCATGTGATCATCTATGTGATCGTCTTCGTGATCATCTATTTCTTTCATGGAACTCGGAACCCTGTCTTGGGAACGACATGGAAATACATCTTCAAAGAAAGATGCACTTCTAGATTCCATGATAGCATTCCTGTGTATATCTGAAATATCAGACTTGTGCACAAGAAATCTATATGCACTGCTATTTTGTGCATAACCAATGAAAATACAGTTCACAGTTTTCGTACCTATCCTAACCCGCTTGGGTGTAGGTACCGCCACTTTTGCAAGACACCCCCACATTCGTAGGTATTTATATGAAGACTTGTGACCTTTCCACAACTCATATGGAGTCTTGTCCACTTTCTTCTGTGATATTCTATTAAGAATATAATTCACGGAGAGAATTGCTTCCCCCCATAAGTCCTGTGGCAACCCAGAACTTATCAACATTGCATTCATCATCTCTTTCAGCGTCCTGTTCTTCCGCTCAGCAACACCATTTGACTGAGGCGAATAAGGCGTTGTGGTTTGGTGAATAATCCCAAATTGAGCACAAGTCTCGGCAAATCGGGATTCATACTCACCACCACGATCACTTCTCAATGCCTTGATTTTCCAGCTTAATCGATTCTCAACTTCATTCTTAAAAAGAATAAATTTATCAATAGCCTCGTTTTTGCTTTTAAGCAAATACACATAACAATATTTAGTGCAATCATCAACAAAAGTGATGAAGTACTTGTTGCCACCACGTGATTGTACAACTTTCAAGTCACACACATCACTATGCACTAAACCCAAAGGCTAGGTACTTCTTTCAATAGAATGAAAAGAAGACCTTGTCAATTTTGTTTCTACACAAGTTTCACACTTGTGTTGTGGATTAATCTTGAAAGATGGTATGTGATCTAACTTGATTAATCTACGTAAAGAGTCAAAATTTACATGATCCAATCTACCATGCCATAAATATAGACTTGATTATGAGAAGAAGCTTTCTCATTAACCTTAGGGATAAGTGTCATTACATTCAATTTAAACATACCACCTGACATATATCCCTTCCCCACATAGACCCCGCCATTGGTCAACATGACCTTGTCTGATTCAAACACTATGCGGAAGCCATGCTTGCTTAGGAGAGACCCCGAGACAAGGTTCTTACGAATGTCCGGCACAAAAAGGACATCATTCAAAGTCAATTCTTTTCCTGAAGTCATCTTCAGGATCACCTTGCCTTTACCCTCAACAGCTGAGATTGCAGAGTTTCCTATAAACAACTTCTCCCCGTTTGAAACCGGTTCAAAAGTTGTGAACATTCTCTTCTCTGGACAAATATGGCGAGTGGTCCCAGTGTCCACCCACCACTCCCTCGGGTTTGACCCCACCATGTTCACTTCTGACACGACGGCTGACGGATGCATATCGTCCACATCGTGTGACAATTCCTCCATTTCAGCCATATGTGCCCAGTTTTTGTGTTGGGGAGGGTTTTTCCTGTAAGGCTTCTTCTTCAGACAATCAACTACCCGACGCCCATCACTTCCACAGGTGAACCATTTGCCATCAAACCTAAAAGTAGGCTCCTTTGGCTTGTAGGCTGGCCTTTTGGAGATTCCTCCTTTAGCCCCTAACTTTGAGCTTTTTCCTGTCGGTGGTTTTTTCCTCGCCCCCGAGGACTCGCCATGCTCACCCATGTTGGCTTTGACAGGGGAGGTACTCCTTCCTTTCTTCCTGTTGTCCTCTAAATCCGGAGCCTGACAACGAGCTCTTCGACTGTCATCTCCTTTCGTTTGTGCTTCAAGTAGTTCTTGAAGTCTTTCCAGTCGTTAGGCAGCTTCTCAATCAAAGCAGCTGCCTGGAATGACTCACTTAGGACCATCTCTTCTGCATGTATCTCGTGCAGAATCACTTGGAACTCTTGGACTTGACTCAGGACAGTTTTAGAGTCCACCATCTTGAAGTCCAGGAACCGGCCGACGATAAATTTCTTTACCCCAACATCCTCGGTCTTGTACTTTTTATCCAAGGCATCCTACAACTCCTTAGCCGATTTCTTGGCATAGAACACGTTGAAAAGCAGGTCCACCAAGCCGTTCAGAATGTAATTCCGGCATAAGAAGTCTGCTTGTTTCCAAGCGTCCAGAGCCATGAGCTTTTGTTTATCTTGCTCATTTTCCTCTACGGCTGGTACATCTTCACTCAGAAACCTCGCAAGGCTTAGAGTAGTCAAATAAAACAGCATCTTCTGCTGCCATCTCTTGAAATTCACTCCCGTGAACTTCTCCTGGCGCTCGTGATGATTGAGTGGTCCTCCCGGAACAACCGGAGTAACAACAGGAGGATTGACCACAGAGGTCACAGCAGGGGTTGGCAAGCCAGTCGCCCCGGGGTTCAGATTCCCACCAACATTAGCAGCATCAGAGACAGTTGCCATTTCTGAAAAATTACAGCAGAATTTTCACTATTCTGTATTTCCAGAAATCAAACTAAACACTAGAAAATCCCACAATTGGAAATTTAATTCAAAACTAGTCTCACCACGCAACCTAGAATCGAACATGGTCAGGAAAGTTTCCAGGAAGACTGGAGGGGTCACACCGGTCCCACTTAAAACCCAGTTAACCTTAGACAAAACTTTCAAGAGCATGTTGACTCCTAGTCCATGGGAAACAACTTTAAGAATTAAATTTTCCAAGGGATGAACTAGGTTAAACACACCAAGTTCCAAACTGTACAAACAATTACAACAAAATTGCTACAATAATTACAAGCAAATAAAACTTGCTTTACATATTTAGTACAAATTAATCCTTTTACTTTATAACGATAGGTTAACTGTTGCTATATCCTTTGCTTTTGCGACATTTTGTGAACCGCTGCTATATTTTGACTCTATTCCATCAATTTTACACTGTCGCTATAGCCATAATTTTTTTTTTGAATTTTATTTGCAGCGACCGTTATTAACTGCGGTTATATGCTATGTTTACTCTTCAATTACCAATAATATATAGCTTGAAATTTTCAATGGTTTGGTAACCATTAATTGTTGTCTCTCACTTATCCCTACTCACGTTATATATCTATAAAAGCACTATTTTATTCTAATGGCTCAATACTCAATAACTGTAAAAGATTAAAGAGTTTGCATTTTCATAATCCCAAAATATCCAAAACACCTTAATTAAAAGGTTCATTACATAAGCTTGTCATACCAAAATAGATCAAATATTTCTAGCAAACTAATAGCCACACCATAATACAAAAGGTACATATAAACTTGTCACATAACAATATACTCAAAAGTATTACTCATGACGCCATTTTATAAAGACCTCCATGAAAAATGTTTAGATCGAGAAATGACGTCCATTGTTTGATGCTTTCATGTTGTCTTATTTCCTGCAATAAAAATAATTGAATGAGCATAAGTATCATTTTCAATTTTAAAATTTACATAGAAAATTTAGACTACAAATAATTCTCGACAAGTCTTATTTTTTTGGTAAGTATGTGGTTTACATATCAAAAAATAAAGATTACAATGAAGTTGAAGATCATATTTGCATATTATTTTTTATCAGCCAAATAGAGCACTCTTTATTAAAAATAAAGGAGAAATACAACAACCAACAAGGAAAATCGAGATTGCATCATAGCGAACCTAACTCATTCCAACTAGGTTGGCAAAAGAAGGATTGCAAAATCATGTGCAAGCTCAACTAAGAGAAACAAAAGGGTTGACAAGAGATACCAACCACAACAAAAGGAAGGAAATAAAAAGATACAAAGAAATTACACACTACCTTTATTGCTCCATATATTCCAGGTTCACTCTAAACACACCAAACCAAACAACACCTAAGCTTCCATAAAGCATCACAAAAGCCAAACAAAGGTAGCAAAGAAACCCACTCCATACTAGCAAAAAAAAATAATTCTGCATTATGATGAAACCCACTCCTCTCTATTTTCTTCCTCTATTTTTTGTTTTCTTTTCAACCCAACAAAAAAAACTCTGCATTAGTTCTTGGTGTTGTTCTTTAAGCACTACAAGTTGATCTCTAAGATTAGATATGCTTGAAGACATCTAAAGGGCTTAGAACATGTAAGCAAGCAACTAGCAGGCTGGCATTTGGACTGAATCAACCAATAAAGCCAAACAGTAGTAGCAGCCACCAAATCAAGCAACCAATAGCAACATCCAAGGGTCTATTTTTAATTGTATATTACAGTTTGATACATTGATATTCATATTTGTTTGATTGCCCAATTCTCTATTTCACTGGTTTGTTTGGTATTTTTACGGATGCCAATAAAGGAAGCAAAGTAAAGAAGTCAACCTATCAAATCCCAATTTTATCCAAACTAATCTACAATTTATTGGTAAAGAAGTCATTAACAATGGCTCTAAATTTGTGTCAATATATGTGTATTGTAATGATGACTTACCCCGATTAGAAGGTCGCATTTCATGACTCCCAAAAGAGGGATCTTTGATGTGTTTGTGGAGAAGCCTTTTTTAGAATGCCACTAGATACATCTGTCGCCTAATTTATACAATAAAATTTACATAAGTATGACGAATGCAAGTGAAATTCTCTACCATTAAGGACCATTTTGAAACCAAAACACCAGTTAGCAAGGAAAAGCAGACCAGTTTAAGAGTTAATGAGGTTAATAAGTATCTAAAAAAACTGGGAGATTCAGCCAAGCCAACCATCTAAGAAAGAAGGTATGAAACAATGTGAATATGAGTAAGGCTCTACCCTGGCTTTTCATAGGTTTCTTGTAGTCTTTATCACATGGACTGTGGAGTGTGCATCTTCAAGACACTGGGGGTAAAATTGGTTTTTCATTCAAGCCACTTACCAGGATATTGACTCAAACTGGTCTAATAAATTAAATTCCCAAACAAGCAGACAAAATGTGAACTGAAAACTTGAATAGGAGTCCATAGAATATTACACAAGTAGAATAGTCACAGCATTTAGAAAGATAACCACAAACCTGAGAAAAGAGTGTAGCAGCTTGGCAAGTGTCAACCATTATCAACAGCTCCTTGAATCTGAATTTTGATCATAATCAAGAGCATGTCAGCTCACTACTTGAAAGTGAAGATTAACATTTAAAAAGGAGCACCTAACTTGTAATTGTATACACCCATGAAGAAGGCCTCATTATATTATATACCTACTAGCATTTCAACATAAGATCGACATATATATATAACAGACCTTTCTAGAATCACAATTAACTAATAGTAATTATTATATTTATATGCTTAGTCATGATTGTTTGAAACCATATTGTCTTTCTATTGCACAATCAAAATATAATGAAAGTTAATTAGTATAAAAAGACCAAACAGACAAATGTAGCATTTAGGACATGCTCTCACCTACACTTTGCCTTCACTTGTTTCACTGCATCGGCTAAATCGTGACTTTGAAGCTACTAGTCCTGAAATTTTAAAAATTCATCTCCTCCATGTCCTGTCATGTATAGAAGTATGTGTGTGTGTATATCCAATAGGGAATAGCCACCTTTAACATTTCACTAATATTTTTCTTTATATCAGCAAACCTGCTGAGTGGTAGGAAAATATATGTACAAGGTAACATTTAATAAGGCTAATGTTTTTCCTGAGTCCTCCACAGATACCTACTTATTAAATCCATCAAAGAAAATCCTAGCTAACAAAAGCTGTTACTTTTTTTTTTCCCTCTCTTTTTCATCCACGCCCATTCTATCATATCCATGCATGAGTGGATAAATTGTAGGCAAAATAGAATCACATAGTAGACATGCTATCAAATAATGTCCCCTAAGAACTCTATTGACTAAGATTGACCAACTGGATTCTACAGTGCAGGTGGCAAAAAGAAGGCTAGCTTTTGTTGAAAATAGATAGCATCATAAATTCATACAAAACATTACAAATTGTGCATTAAATTCATAAACAACAATTTTCTCACAAAAAAAAAAAGAGAAAAAAAGGAGCAAAACATAACAAACCAATAAACAAAAATGTTGGCACTATTACTCCATTGTGGCATTTTATCAAACACCTAGCATACATAATGATTCCTCAAGCACGAGATTTTATTGGGTAGCATCAACAACAATCCATTCACTTCACTAATTATATTGGTTAAAATATGAATATCATAGATGATCAAAAATCAGAATACCGAACATGTTAATCAACCTATTTTTTAAATTATTTTCCCAAATCAAAATCATTTAAGATGTTCATGAAATCCTTCAAAGTAGAGAAGTTTTGGAGATATTAGAAGCAATGAATGGATGGCAAGTCTCAGCTTAACAATGAATTTCATTTACCCAAACTTGATTGAAGACAGTAAGGGAAAAAGAGAAACTGAGACAGTAGAAGAAAGAGAGATGGGTAGAGAGAAAAATCGAGAGACAAGAAGAAAATGAGGGATAGAGAAAGAGAAATAGAGAGAGCAAACTAACCTTGAAATCACAGTGATGCTGTAGCTTGATGTCGTCAATACGCCGCGGGAGAGGATGAAGGAAGGCTCTGATACTTCGTAAAAGAAGTGTTGATAGACTAGGGCACAAATTGTGAGTTGAACGGTTTTTTTTTGTGGATTGAAATTCTGATATGTTATTCACCCAAACCCACCCAAAAAAAAAAAAAATTTTTGATTCTGCGCGAAATGAGAATTGAATTTGGCGGGCGTTTATTTTGCTTGGGTTTTTGTAACGGTTGAGTACAAACCATCACTATAAAAAAAAATATGGCAGCGTGTTAGGAAAAAAATGCTATTAAAAATTTAATTTTTAGTTGTGGTCAATAACCGCTACGATAGCCCATCTATAGCAGTATTTTTCAAGCCACTGCAATAAAAAACGCTGCTAAAACCTGATTTTCTTGTAGTGTGTGCTTAATTGCTATTTACTACCTTCAGCTTGGTTTGCTTCTTCATATGTTCATAGAAATGATTTTTCATGCTTTTTGGCACTCACATTTGTGGATTGAAATGTCACATTTATTTGGTTACTAATTGATAGTTGTAAAGAGCATGCATTTGTCTATTCTCTCTCAAATTGGCTCCTCTATAAAAACATGTATATTCAAATTGGTGAATCAAACAGTGGGAGTTGGATCTTATTTTTAACAACAAACAATGGGCAATTTTTAAGGGTTGATTTTGGATAATGGAGCTTGCTTGCTTATATTTTCTATTCTTCCTTTTGTTTCAGGTACATATGCTTTGGCTTGAAGGAGTGTTTGATTAGCTCATAAAAAGTTGTTGTGATTTTGTTTGCCACAATGGTTGATTAGGTAATTGGTTTGCCTTCCATTGATGGATTTGTCAATAATTGATCTATCTATATTATTATTTGTTTTTCTATTCATTTGTTTACTTTAGTAATGCATACATATGTCTATTTTCACTTCGCCATTGAATGACATAATTCAATTGACCATAATAGTTATATTCAATTCTTCTTAATTCATAACTATTGATTTTCATATTTCTCATATGTATTTTGATGCTATTTTTTATACTACAGTTTCTTTTGATGCAATTATTCTTCATTACAATTTCTTCCGATTTCTCATATGATTTTGATGTGATTTTTCATAGCTATTGGTTTTTTAAAACGAATTTAAGCTAAATTAATAAATTAATTAGAAAATACAGTGAATTAACGTTGCACCAATGGAACTCTTCTTCCCTATTGATAACAGTGGCCTATTCCATGCCATGGGAAGACCAAACAATAGCATACACTAAATGGTAAAATCAAAAGCTTAACCCTGTGTACATGCATCTAATAAACCAATTAACTCGCTAGTACTACCACTGGCCAATTACATGCAAAATTATTACACACACCTATGAATCTATTAATCTAATTCTATGATAAACGTCGAATCTATTCTAAGCTTGTTGGGAAAAACTACTCACATTACATAATTTCACATTGCATATCGCAAAATTATGAGATGAACAAAACAAACCTTCAATCCCAGGAAAATAAAATGCTGAATAAAATACAGATAAAATATAAAATGGTTAAAGGAAACAAACCGAAGCCTGTGTGATACCATAGTCTCCTTAAATTAGATTCGCCGCCTCACCGTTGGGTGCTGGAGATACGCCGGCGTCTACTTCCCAGGATACGACGATTTTTACCAGCTACAACAGAAGCACCTTCTGATTAGCTTAGCGAACGGACAACAGCAACACTCTCTCTCAGGAAGAAAATTATAGGAGAAGTAGACTAACAGTGTATGGATGTCAAGGAAAAATTCTATATATCTTTTCAAGGAATAGGGCCTCCTTTTATACACCATGGGGGAGAGGGGAGGAGCCTCTAGCCATCAAGGCTGGCAACTAATGCTAGCAAAACTGCCCAATCAATTTTGTAAAACTGATGAGCCTTAAATGTGTATGTTATATACACATTTATGAGACAATTTCTTATTCAACCATTTTTCTCTAACAATATATATATATATATATATATAATGGTGTGAATCGGTGTAAATCGGAATACAATAGTATAAATGTTTGGTAAATGTAAAAATTATAAGAGTGACTAAAAATAAGGATATTCAAACTTTCTCATAAACAAAAAAAAATATGTATATTTTGAAATCTTAAAAAAGTATGAATATTCACACTAACTTTTAATTTTCATTTTACATAATATAAATTTTTAAAAAGTATGAATATTTTTTAAAGTGCTGTTATTAATACTTCATCAATTATTTTGGACTCCTCCATTTTTTTGGATCGCCACTTATAAATTGTAAAATCCTTTAAATTTCTTTTCTCTCCCCAAATAATATCAAAATTATCCTTGTAAAAATATTCTACCCATTCAAATGCACACCTCCATACTCCAAAAAGCCTCTCCCCCCAAAACCCTAAACCTAAGACGATGGAACCTCTCAAAACTAGTGAAAAAAATTTGTGTGATTGAGAAGTTTTTCTTTACACATCATTACGAGATTTGTCAATCTATTTGTTTTTTTTTTTTTTTATATTACCTCTTTCTATACACACAATACAATCCACTTTCATGCTTTTCTAGTTGGTTTTCTGTCATTCATCCATGGCCTCACTGTATTTGTATAATCTCTGTGTGAGCAAAACTAGGTAGGATTTCACACCCCAGTCGATCGGCCAATCAACCAGCCAAGGGTGGTCCGACCTATTTTATTTGCCTACTTCTGCTGCTGTTTCGATTATCTATTCCCGAGCAAATAAGAAATGTTTGGTGACATGTTCCTGAACAAATAAACAATGTTTGGACTTGTGTTTCCGAATTTCAGTCATATGTTTAGGAGTTCAATTCCGAAAAAATGAAGAATAATTTTTATTATTTTTGTCATTTTTTTTCAAGAAACTTACTCTTACAAGGTCAATCTCCTCTAAGTTATGAACCTCATCAAAGTTATGAATCTTTTCTAAGCTTTTATTGTTGTACTCTTCTCGTTTTATAGAGTTATGATTGCTAGAAAAACTTTCAATCATTATTATTGCTAGAGAAGTATATGTAATCAAATGGTTGCCGCCATTGCCATCGGAATATTAA